AATAAGTTATATTTCATATTTCCAGGAAGATTTTTAATGTAACTCATGGTAGAAATCTTTCCTTTCAAATAATCATTTAGTATTTTTTTCTTCATCCTAGGTTGCGTTTCCTGGGTCTCTATTTCCTGATAGATTAGAAGCCCCTCATGCCATAGTCTGCATAGAAAAAGGAATCATGCCTATATTGCCACTGACAACAAAGAAAGTCAGCTCTTGACATAACAGTTTAAATGGAGATCACTTGGATGACTGGAAGCACATAGCCTGCAAAGAGCAGGTCTTTTCCATCAAAGGGATCCCTTCCTCAGTGCTGCTGATTCTCCCATTTCCCACAGCCCTACACTTACAGGATGCTATTGCAGATCAAATCCTAATGCCATTTAAGAGTTACACAGTATCTCAAATAGTCAGGAAGACACTCAAGACAACTTGGACAAATGTGGAGGTACAGCCTGAAGTCAACACTGAACAGATTTTAAATATTGCTTCTGCTCCAGAGTCCAAGCAGACTCTACCAGTATAGTGGTTTAAAAAACAAACAAACATACTCTTAAGTATCAGACTCACCACAAGAAAGTCAATTTGCTGTACTTCACTGTTTAATCAGAATTTACCTTCCTCTCCAGTGAGGTCCAAGGTCAGCATCTTTTGCATATTTCTATTATTCTAAATTTCACAAATACTTTGCTGTGCACATCTGTCCCTTCCTGCTTTCTTGATCTCACAAAACCCCTTATTAGTTCCAAGATGGATAATCTGTGTGCTTGCACCCTCAGTCCAGGAAGAAGAGCCCATCCGTTCTATTTTTAAAACGGAAGGTCTTTCCTTTGTAATGTTTTTCTGTCCAATGATTTTAGAAAGGAGGCTGCAGCAGTTGCCAGTTCGTGACTTCAGCCTCCCCAATGGCCTTCTCCATCCGATGGTACCAAGGCTGAATCATGGTATGATTCATCATATCATCATAGGCTTCCAGCCCTTCCATGACCCGTAGGACCCCATACACTGCCTGTGCCAAAGGAGTAGAGAAAGTTTGGAAATTAATATAGATAACATTGAATCTGGAATACAGGTGAAATAAGGCTTCAGATTTAAGTGGCTCAAAACTCTACTCCTTTCCCTATCTCCATTCCAATCATCAGAGATTACACAAAAAAAGCTGGACAAATAGGCAGTGCCTAATAAAACAGGCATGATTTTAGGGAGACGGAGTAAAAGGAAAGCGATTAAAGAACTGACATGGTATCCAGCTTCATATAAAAACTCTTTATGGAGACATTGCTTCAGAACAAAACAAACAAAAATATCACTCATTATTTATGAGAGCTAATAATGCAGGAAACGGCTCAAGGCTCCAATCTTGAAGTCTGATCTATGCATGCCAACCTAATGACCTGAAGGAGTCCCACTTACAAACTCCAGTTGCAGAAGTGAAAGCTTATCTTGTAAACTGTCATTACTTCAGACTGATTGATAATGCCTTACTCTCTAGGAAGTCATGCTGTTTATAAGGTATACATTCTGTATTGGCTGTGTGTATACGTTCCTGAAGTATCACCATATTGTGCAATGGAGTAAACATACTCACCCCTCACCTGTAACACACTATTTGACTACACAACTTTCACCTCTATATAGCATACTCAAATGAGATATCTAGTCTATAGACCATATTTTATACATAATCAGTCACACCTATATCATACTATGTGCATGGATAGATGGATGATAATTTAAATACAGAGACCAAAAGTCTTGACCATTACCAAGTCAGCGAGATTCGGCTGGCTGCCACCCATGAATGGTCTGTGTTTGCCAACAGCTTTAACCCAGTCATTGGCTGCTTTGTACAAATCTTCTCGGACATTATCCTGGAGATGGTGCCTGTGTTAAGAAAAAATGTTAAGAGAAAATATAGTGTCCTCTAACTGGTTCATTCCTCTCTCTAATCTTCCCCTCCCATCACACTTCCAATGGATTGATATATGGCCAGAGACAGGGAATGTATTTCAGACAGCGAATAGAAAGACTTGGATATTTTTAAAGATGACTATGAATAGGAATGTAAGCAACTAGTCGAGTAGTCAACTACCCGATAAGCCTAGGCTAACTGGATAGTTGAGTCACTACTTGACTAGTCACTTCTCCCCCCACCTCCTGCTGCCTCTATTAAGCAGCAAGAGTGGGGATAGCAGGAGCTGGTGCTGTGGAGGGGAGCCAGCTTAAGCCAGTTCTCCCTAGCACTGTCTCCACAGGAGGGCGGAGGCAGTGGCACAGAGGGGGACTGGGCACAAGCCAGGGCTCAGCTGTCCCAGCTCACGCCCAGTCTTCCACTGTGTCTCTGCCTTTCCAATGTAGGAAGAGCTGCTGCAGCTCTGCAGTTTCCCCCCTTATCGACTAATTGAGTAGTCAATGGAAATTTAACATCCTTACTATGAATTAACTTGTGTGCTTAACTTGTGCACCTGATTCAAGCAGAAGTTCAGAAGGGCTTCAAGTATTGATTGGACTTCTTTAATTTGATTAGGCGGTTAAGAAGTTATTTGATCTAGCAGTTAAAGCAAAAGACCAGAATTCTAGAAATCATGGAGAGTAATTCTCTCTCATTCTCTCTCAATCGCTAACTCAGTGTGTCACACTAAACAATTAGTCTGGACTCTTCCTTGACCATTTATTGTATACCAATTGATAAGTGTCTTCTTTAATCCAGTGTCTTGTGGAAAGACAAAGATCTAAAAAGGGAAAAATCCTCTGGGTGTACTACTTAAATGGTGGGGCTACAGTGGAACTAGTTCCATGAGTAGGGATTGTTCAGTCTATGGGAATAAAATATTACTTCCCAAAAGGCAGCTTCTGATTGTGCTGGTCAGTGGAGATTTAAGTGGCTCAGAACAAATGAGTACCAAATCCTATCTTTTCAAAGGCAGAAAAGGATTTTGCATCACTGAATGGCATTCAACTGTACATAAACATTACAGTTTAGGGGAGTACCAGTTATAACTAGAGTGATGTGCCATGGAGCGAATCTTAAACTAAAAATCTGACCTTGAAATGGAGATTTTGCCCTGTCTGATTTGAAAAATAGTATGGTTCCAAACATAGTGATCACTTAGATACAATGATCAGAATGAGAAAAGTATCCAAACTGATCCTCAGAACAGAATTCCACTTTATTTCTAGGGCAAATGCCTATTTAATGTGTTTGAGACACAGAGTGTTACCATTTGAAGTTCATGGGTAAGATGCTTAAAAACCAATGGGACAAAGAGCTATTCTCTTGCTGTGTCACTGCATCAGTGGTACCAACCTGGTCTTCAGCCTCTTGCTGATGAAGAACATGGCAATGGCCCCCATGTACTTGGCAAAAAAGCCTTCCATAGTCCCAAACTTGCCCTCACGGACAATGTAATCAAAAGATGCCAGGGCTTCCCTCGGTGTTCGATAAACGTTGGGAGAGATAAGGTGAACAAGCCAGTTATCTGCCCATTCTCGCCACTTCATTTCCTCCCTATAGACATCCCAAGAAAGTAGTTTAAGTGAATAAGGGGGATACATTGAGCCAGGGGAGGATGATGCAGCTGAGATCAGAATGATTGTAGCTGGAGCTTCTGCAGAGGACGGGACTGCAACAGAATTCCCATCCAGCCTGTTACACTGGTAATATCCCTAAACTATGGTCAGGAGGGATAAGGTGTATTTCCCAATGGAAAGGTGATTGATTGGCTGTCAGGCTTTCTACACACATGGCCAATACAGAATGTATGCTGCTGAAGTCACTGAGCTGCTCCAATGTCAAACTCCAGCTGGATAAAACAAACTAAAACTCTAGATTCTCTATTATTGCAAGCAGGCTGGTCGGCCTACAAGGAATGAGTGTCCCTTATTCACGGGTTTTCCCCAACATTAAACAATCCCAAGTGAGCCTTCTGGCTAACTCAGGAGCCCAAAGGGGCATCTCTCTATGGGAAGAAAGCAGGGACAGAAGGAAAGGGAGGAAATTGGTGCAATGGCTGGGGCTTAGGGTACACCAAACTAGAGAATTTCACATTGCAAATTAAACAAAGAAGTTACTTGAATCAAAACCACTGCAGTTATTTAGGGGTGCCTGATAGGTATGATGTCAAGAGCAGCATTTGAAGGTGGATGTTCATGTTTTCCAAGATTATACAAGACAGGTGCTGCAAAACCAGCTCAGAGACTTCTAGCACATGAAATACTTACACCCTAGCTTCTTTGATGGGATACATATGCTGGGTCTCCATATCATCCAGCATGAGCCAGTATTTGTTCCCATACTCCATCACCTCCTTGCCCTTCTCGTTCACAGATTTCATAGCAGGATAAAATGACACAATCTCTTCTAAACTCTTCTTCCTGAGGAGAGAAACAGAGTCAGGATCTGCATGCTGTTCTCCCTGGGTTACTGAAAAAACAGTTGCTAGAAGTCCTCTTTTGGTACAACAAAGCTCTGGCTACTCTAACAACATGAGGAGGCAGCTTAGGGGCTTTAAATCTAAGGGCCATCTACATGCAATTTGTATTTTCTCTTTCAGAATTCCTCTCCATCCTGAAGTGTAGTTTGACTGTAAAAAACACAAAAACAAAAACTTGCTGATTGTAATGGGATTGTGGAGCTGATATAATACACACACACACACACACACACACACACACACACACACGCGCGCGCGCGACGAGATTAGCCATTAGGGGGAAACAAAACAAAACAGCCTAGAGAGAAAATATACCATTAAAATACTCGTCCTTCAGTTGTAATTCTCTTTCTCTATAGAATACAACTCCCTCTGGCTTCAGTACAAATGGTTTGAATCCTGTTTGGGGGTGGGAGCAAAAGGTCAGTGGATTTCAAAGTCTCCCCTTTCTCCAAGCCTACAAAGCATCTTTTGATTCTCAAGATCTGAGCAAATTTGATCTGGAATCATGGATAGAAAATAAATGTGTCATTTTTAGAGCGGTTTCAATCTGAAAATTGACTCTATACATGCACATTATCATCCCAAATATATTTTTACTATAATGCATTGTTGTAACTATGTAGTGAGTGCATGCATACAAGACTAAGGGGAAAACATACTTAAGGTACATGAAAAGAAAACAGTAAAGCACACTGAAGCCACAAACTATTTCATAACAGTGTGTTTTAATGTAAGGCAAGAAACTAATGAAAGAGAGTACATGTAGGTTTCACTCCAAATAACCTTCAGTAAGCATTAACAAGATTCCAGAATATTAAGCTGCAGCGGAACCGACAGTATCTGCAGGTCCCTGGGCAAGGTTGGGGGTCAGTTCTGCACCCCAGAAGGGATGGGGTCTCGACAGAAGGGACAGGGTGGGGCAGCCAGCCCAAAGTGCAATCCGAAGCGCACCACACCAGCCCCCTTTGAGTCATCAGGTCATGGGGGCAGCCCCCCCCCACAGTGGGCCTGGTCACCTGCAGCTAAAAAGTGTCTTATATTTCAATTTCTCTACACCGCACAAAGGAATAAAAGTACAAGTTATCCAAGGTGTAACCTTCTCCATTCCTTATTTGAGCTCTTTGTGACCTGCACAAGAGTAGCAAACTGATTTATTTCCTGACATTCTGATTCTCCCCCCCCCCACAAAAGTCAGAAAAAGATTTCATACATTTAATTTGTAACTCCTCTTTGTACAGGAAAAAAATCACTTTGTCTATAAACATGCACATACAAACAGTAATGTGCCCTTGTTTTCTAGTGTGCCTAAGGCAATTTACAATCTCAACTGTAGTTTTACTGTCCCAGTTCCTTACCTGGAAACAAGATAGGTCTTGATTGCACTGATGATCATTGAAGAGTCATTCAGTTGCTGCAAAACAGAATTAAAATGGAGTTAAGAAAGAGGTGCTCATAACAAGCTCTGCCAACTGAACCCCTTTGGAGCCTAAGTCCTCTGCAAGTACCTTCTTCCCCAAATTCCTGTTTATTTCCATAGTAGTGTAGATTTGTTTATAGCCATATACAGGAGGCCCCCGACTTGCATCACGATTGGTTCGGGGGGAAGCGAAGCAAGTCGGAAGCGTCGTAACTCAAACCCACATTTACAACAGGCACCGTGCACCGTCATAAATGCGGGCCAAGGACGTAAGTTGGGGTTTTTTGGCCCCTTCCGCACTTACAAAAATGGTTGTAAGTGCGGGGTGTTGGAACTCGGGCGGTTGCAAGTCAGGGGCCTCCTATATCTACTAGGGATGTGATAGCATATACACATCTCCCCCCTCACGCCCGCTGCTGCCTCTGTATCAGACACAGCAGTGCAGGGAGCCGTCTTTCAAAATTTCAGCAGTTACATGTTTACCAAAATAAACGCTATCTACCATACTGGCCAAAAACCAAAATAGTGAGAAAATATACAGTTACATATTTGTCTTTGGGTGTCAATTCTTCCACCCCACAGAATACAAGTAACTCCGATGGACTTCAGTACTAGTTGTTTGAGTCCTGCATGAGAGTAGGATCACTAAAGATCGCAGACTTTAAAGGCTTACCTTCCCCCAAGCCTATTGGGGGACTCTCTAACAGTAGCCTGGCTTCTCACTGTTAGGGAACATTAGGCCTTGCAAGTGCTCAGCAAAACAAGAATGAGGCAGCTAAGTATGCAGCTGTAAAATGGTCCTTTATTTTTAGCACATTCTCTCAATCTACAGGCTTCATGTGCCCTTGGCTAGTGACCCAGTGTTAGATATAAATCCCCAAACCAAGGTCTTTTGAGAAGCAGAGACTCACCAGAGTGTTTCCAGCGTTGGCTAAAAGAATGGGCACCTTTCTGTAGGAGGAGAATTTGATCTCCTTCCTCATTACTGGGTTCACCTCCACAACTTCATAAGGCACCCCATGGTAATCAAGGAAGGCACGGACCTTACTGCAGAATGGGCAGGTTTTGTATTGGTACAGGGTCAACTGCAGGCTACCAGCAGGGAGCTGAGGGAGAAAAAAAACAAAGTTCTGTAACTTCAACTCAAAAATCACTTTCTCTTCCAGATGAATTTTAAATTGCAATTGCTGATATTTGGTACTGAGATCACAATCTGATCATCCAAATCAAAGCTCATACTCCTGGTTAACTAGTGTTTTCTTCCAATGTCATTACACTGTTTTTGCATAACGAATATCTAATTTTCTAAATATGGCAATACCCTATTGTAATAACTCCAATCTAAGAATATATGATTTTTCCCAATTGAATCCTATAGCTTAGGGACCAAGTTACCATAAGAATCCCCCCTCCCACACACACACACAAATCCAACCTAAGATAATTACCAACCTAAAAAACAAACCAAAAAGAAAAAGCTCTAAAGTCAAACAAAAAAACAAAACAAAACCCATGTCCCAAGCAGAACGTTTATACTACAAACACTACAATTGACATACAGTAGAGTCCCTATCATCCGACCTAAATGGGACCAATAGGTGGTTGGATTACCAAAAATGTTGGATGATAGGGACTCTACTGTAGCTGGGGCCGCTTGGTCCCCATCCCTGCCTGGCCCTGGCCCCTTCCCACTCTGTAGCTCCCAGGCACCCGGCCCAGCTCCCTGACGTTTATACTACAAACACTACAATTGACATACAGTAGAGTCCCTATCATCCGACCTAAATGGGACCAATAGGTGGTTGGATTACCAAAAATGTTGGATGATAGGGACTCTACTGTAGCTGGGGCCGCTTGGTCCCCATCCCTGCCTGGCCCTGGCCCCTTCCCACTCTGTAGCTCCCAGGCACCCGGCCCAGCTCCCTG